AGTGTAGGGGTGGGTGGGGTGTGATCCTTTTTGGTTTTGGTTGTGAAATTATGGGTTTTGGAGTGAATTGAATTGAACCACTGTGGATAGAGAAAAATGTAGTCTTTTTTAAATAAATAAATGAATTGAATACTGTAGGACTCTTGAATTAGGGTAAGAGGGTTAGGGTTTTAAAGGATCATAGATTTTTGAATTCATTAATCATTATATGCTTTTGTGAGGTTTTTGATTTTCTTGTCCATATGTTTTTTTTTCCTTGCTTTTTGTTTAATTATTTTAGTAGTTAATGAAATTCCAAAATGCAGCATCAAGAAGAGGAGGAGATGCTGGTGCCGCGTGCAGACATGGTTGAAGGTCCTCAACCCTTAGTTGAAGGTCCTCAGCCCATGGAAGGTTGGGTCATCTTGACCATTTAGCTGTCTTGGTTTATCATTATGATTATTGTTTTGATAATGCAAGGTATTTCCTTCATTAATAAGCACCAATTCGGTGTCAAAAAATTAACTACAAGTAATTTTCACCAAGTTTGAAGAACTGTCCACACACCATGGTTTCTTCTCCTTGTACCAAAAATACAAGTGAAACAAAGAGCTTTCTTAATGCTTTCTGCACTGTTCTCACTAGTATAATATAATTTCCTTTTTAGTTTGCTCCATATACTACAAAAAGGACGAGGTGGCACCGTCTTCCATGCTACCTTCCTTTCATTTCCAATCCTCTCCAATCTCTAACTTGTGATTGCTTTCTTCACTGTCGTTGGCAACATCCACAACTATTTGTCATTGTCAATCAAGTTTTGATAGTTGTAGCCTACTTGCAATGCAACAAGAGATGATTAGTATTTTCTCCCGATTCTTTGAATATACAACACCAACTCACAACTATCCTCGTCTTTCTTGATTTATATGCTGTTAAAATAGCATCTCACACAGAATGCTAAACAAACTAAGCTACTTTCTAGGAGATTTGGTGCTCCAAACTTTTTCCTACACATCTCTGTTATTGCCCCTTTTTGACAGCTTCAGATATTTAAGATTTAATTATAAAAGTTTTTGCTCCCACATCCTTGTATTATTTTAGCTCTGCCTGCATCCCTATTACAAAGAATATTATAGGTTCGAGTTGATCAGGATTATGCTTAGAATTCCCATGTTTATATTGGTCAATGTGATTTTCAGTGACGCCGACTGAGAATGCTAGTGCAGTGGAGAATCAAGCTGTGGATGAGCCGCAGGCTTCGCGGTTTACTTGGACAATTGATAATTTCTCTCGGCTATCAGTGAAGAAGTTATATTCTGAGGTTTTCAGTGTTGGTAGTTATAAATGGTTAGTGAAAAATTATCACTTATCTGAGACTTCCCTTAAAAAAAGGGAAGTATATCAGTTATCTTGGTCGTTAAGTTTTGTAATAAAGTGTTATAATTGGTGTCCGTATGTCATTGGTTTTTTTCAGGAGAGTGCTAATATTTCCAAAAGGAAATAATGTGGATTGTTTGTCGATGTACTTAGATGTAGCAGATTCAGCTGCACTTCCATATGGGTGGAGTAGGTATGCCCAGTTCAGCTTAGCTGTTGTGAATCAAGTAAATCCCAAGTATACTGTGAAAAAAGGTATTATCTTGTGCAGTTCAAGTTTGAATTCCAGATCTATTTATGTTATTAATGTGGTATTTCAGTGTGCTTTGCTCTTCATTGCCGTTTTATATATTAGGAAGCCTTCTTGTTTGAAGCACTTACTGGGATTTATTTTGGAAGAAAGTATGAAATCTCACTTTTTAACTGTAACTCATTCTCAGTTGTACCTTTATGTTTGTATGCTATACGCCTATCTTAAACTTTCTTTAAAAAAAGGTTTCTTTATCATTTCTCGCATTTTCTTAGGGTTGTCAAAGGACATGTCTTTTAAGTATACCTTCATTTAGAGCTTATGGATATGATGCTTGGTGAAATTTACTATCTTTTTCTCATTGTCGAGGTTTTTTGTGTCATTTTATCATTGAATAAAGTTGGTTCCTTATCTCTCTCAGAGAATGTAAGTTTACATCTACTAATTCGATCATACTATGCTGCCCATTTTCTGTAGTATCTTGTCTGGAGACTACATATATTATGCTTTTGACGAGTAATGTTGGGGCCCAACGCACACGCAAGTATACGCGGTCGACAAGTAATAAAGTAGTAAGTAGAGTATCATTCCCACAAAGACTTATGACTAACCATTAACTAAATTAAACTCAAACTAATTATCTATTCAAGTGGTTTTACTCAAAGTGTGTTGGTGATTAATTAACTACAAAAGAAACTGTACAGCAATCAAGTAAACTAGAGATCGAATGAAGCACGTGGGCAACTTGGGATAAAAATCAATGAGAGAAGATATTCCAGGGTTATAGGCTAACTAACAATCCTGTATGCGTTCTCTGCTTAAACTGACTAATTGATTTATCTGGTTTGTTGATGTTACTCGTAAGAATCCGTCGAGTTCTTACTCGCCTATTCAAGTTAACCTAATGCCTATATGTCTATTAAATTAGGACTAACAAGAACACATTTATAATTCCTGTATATCAACCAAGCAAGACAATTAGGTATATGTCGATCCTAACCGCGAATCCATTCCCTGATGTCCAGGTTCAAGAACTTGCTCTATTTAATCCTATATGCAATTTAGAATTCTCATTTTCGA